TGTTGTTGTTGGTCTTATACTAGCTTCAACTAATGAACTAATACCATTTTTTGTTTTCGATGGTGGAACATGTTTTCTTGGTGATGGTTGAATACCAGATGTAACTCCTGGTCGTGTTGGTTGTGTATCTTCATCATCATCACTTTCATTTGCATTAGATATTGTAACATCATCATCTGACTCATTTTTTATTGTTGGACGACTATGATCATATTTTGATTTTGATTGAACTGTTGTTGTTACAGCACCACGTTGATCAGTTGAATCTTTTTTTGATCGTTGATGTTCATCTTCAAATGTAACTAATTTACTACCAGTTGAACGTATAGATGTAATACTACGTCGAACATCAAGTCGTTCATTCATACGTTTATCTAATAGTCGAGTAATATTATCACGAATGCGTTCAAAATTAGGTAAATCCTATAGAAATATTAATTGTTATGATTATTAATTATTGATTAACTTACATTTTGAATATTACGTCTTGTTTGCAAAACACTTTCCATTTTAGTTCGAAAATCAAGATCAGTAAGACGAGTATCAGTCTTAAAATAAAATATTAAATATAAATTGTTTAGGTTAAATTTATTTTTCTTACTTCAGAAATTCCTAAACTTTCATAATCTTCAAGTTCTTGAACAAATTGTTTTTTTGCTTCATCTCGATATTTTGTTAAAAATTTTGGATTATCTTTCAATCGTTCAACAAGTTCTAGACAATATTCAGATAAATATATATTTGCTGTCGGTATTGGTCGAGATGGTCGAGGTTGTACTGATGGTTCAACTGGTAATTCAGTAGGATGTGTTATTTGTGTTGATGGTCGTTGATTTCGAAATTGAGCTAATTGATTATTTGCTTCTTGAAGTTCTTCTTCTAATTTTTTACGACGTAATTTTTCTGCATTATATCGCTACATAAAAGATAGAGGAAAAATATTTAGAAAATAAATATTTTCGACTTTTTTCTTCAATGATAACAGTTAGAATAAATCAGAGAAAACATTTTAACGCCTCTAGATTAGCTATAACTTATCTTCGGCGAACGATAATCATTGTGCGAGGAATCTAAAAGATTGTTTTCTGTTTTTTTTTATGAAAGTACATATGAATTTACAGTTTTTTACATATCGTAGAATGAGTGCAGTGCGCTAAAGATAGGTCTTCAAGAGTTCAAAGATATGTTATTGTTTTCAAAATGTTTTTTTTTCTATTAGATGAATTTGCTAATGTACCTTCATCTGGAGAAGCTAGAACATTAGCATAGGCAATAAAATTCATGATGTTAGATGCGTAATTCGACATTTCAGTGTTGACTCTATCATCAATAAAAATTTCATGTCAAATAGTTTTAGTTTGTCTGATTTATTAAGTATTCTTGGAGTAATGTTCACATGAAGGCTTGTACGAGTCATCAAAAAGTGAGCGATATCTCCGACTAATTATAACCATTTGACTTGAAAATTTTACAATCACAATCACGAATGAAAAAGATATCCATGCTGAGATCATTGTAGGCAATGGAGACTTCCCTGTGCCTCAAGAATACAGCATATCGAAGTACCCTACATGTAACACAACATAGACATGCGAATCTTTAGTTGTTAATAAAAAAAAAGAAGACTAACGCATTTAAATATCAAAGTTTGCCAAACTCTATTTGTAATCAAAATATCAGACGAAAGGATTGAAGTTTATGTACTTTTTACTCTGTAGCAAGCCTTCTTGCAACTACCGTATATATGTACATATTAATAAGGACTACAAAAACTCTTTTTTTTTTTAAATATTTAACTTACATTTTGAAAAGTAATTAATTCATTTGTTAAATGACCTGTATCACCTGGTGTTCTTTGAAGTAATTGAAGATTATCTTTTAGAGTCGTTATTTCGTTTTGAAGCTACAAGGAAATAAAAATCAACATTAATATATGATTATAAGAATAATTATTTACTTTTTCGTTTTCACGTTCAAAACGTCTTTTAAGTTTTTCTGCTTGTTGAAGTGATTGTTTCTATTTCAATTGAAATGGCCAAAAACAAAATTCAAAAAATATAATTTCTATATATTACTTACAAGTTGTTCAATATCAGCACGTAAATTTTTATTTTCTTTTAATAATTCTGAAAAACCAGTTTCATGTCGATGAGGTGAAGGTGATCGTGTCTGAGGATTCTAAACGTTCAATAAAATTAAAAAAACTCTTAAACGAAATTTTTTTTTATTACTGATCTCATTTGTGCGAGTCTTTCATCTAATGTTGGTATTTTTGTCATTAATGTTTGAATTTCTTTCTATATGAAATAGCGTTACGTAGTTATCCTAATAGAAAAAAAAGAAGCAAAATCTTACTTGAAGTTGAAGAATATTTGTATCACGATCACGAATTTTATCTTCATCAATTGTCTGAAAAACACATATAAATTTCAAAATCAGACTTTAGGTACAAGAAAACAAATCGATATCTACTAGCAGAAAAAAATGTTCGTAAAACAGTCTGACAGATTATAATGACATAGGATGAAACCTAGAGGAATCCTACGTTACTGATATAAAAATCAGCATTTGTTCGATTTTTCATTGCAAATACAGTTTCGACGTATTCTCTGTCAAATGTTAGATAAATCTGACGGCTCTTCATTGTTAGTTAGTACTTTTATTAAACTCAGCTCTCAAAATTCCTAGCAGAAAAACTCATATTGGAATAATGCTTTGTATACAAAATTCTCCTAACGATAGTTTCTAAAGACGCTGAGCGCATGAGTCATAGACCTGCAACGCCGGTGGATACACGGTCAGTTTTTGATTATTTCAGTTGACAAAAAAAAAATTATTTGATACATACAGAAAAATTTCTTGTTCATTTTTTACTTTTTATTGCAGGTACTAGACAACAGTGTTTTCGAGTGCGTATTTTTTTGTTGTTTCGAAAAATATTGCATCATGGATGTTTTTAGCAGATTTTACAAACAAACTTCAGTAACAAAAAAAAACACGTATTTTTGGAGGTACGTTCAGTATTTTGATCTTTTTATTCGAATGGAACGAGATATTTGTCTTTACGAACTTAGAAAGAATTATTTGACAATTTGAAGTTCATGACAACTTTTGCCCTACTCATCGAAATCTATCTACTCTAAAAGTATAATTATTCTGATGCAGTGAACACATTCAATTATCTTAATATGAATTTCATCTAATCACGTATATACTATACATGATGATATCAATTGTGATAACCAATAGAACGTTTGTCTAGAATATGTTCTTGGTATACAATAGCTTTATTGTATTTTCTTTTTTTTAAATATAATTGATACGAGAAGTGAAAGTATTTTCCAAATTATAGTCTTCATTTTAATTTTCGAACATACTTTTTGAACTTTAATCATTTGTAATTCAGTTTCTTTTTTATTTAATTCATCTTTAAGACGTTGAGTTTCTTTTTCAGCATCAATATCATGTTCACGTCGTCTACTTGCATCATAATCTGGATGACGACGATTAATATGTCCTTGTAAATAATCAATACTTAAAAATGCAAGTGTACAAACTGGACACTAAAAAAAAAGAATTTATCAAAAATGGAATAATTAATATAGATGATTATTTTTTATTCTACTGTATGATAATTTGAATTCTGTGCCATTAACATTCTTTGTTGTGTTTCAATCATTTTTCGTCTTTTTTTCGATTCTTTTTTTGCGTCAGCTAATTTATTTGTTAAATTTTCGATTTGTCGGCGAGCATCTTCTTGATCCTATTTTATTTCAGATTTAAATTTCTCAACGAGAAAAGAGAAAAATTTAAGTACATACATGAAAACCTTTACTTTTCAATTGTTCATAATCAGTTAATTGAACTGTGATTTGATCTTGACAAAGCTATAAGAACGAAAATAAAAAATAGTCTTACTAATAGAATTAAAATGATTCAAAGACAAACCAAAAGATATTCAATTGTTAATTGAGCCATTTTATAAAGTTTAACAAAATTTGGATCCATAGCTCGTGAATCCTTAGTTTTTTTTTTGAAAAAATATAAATTTTTATTTGAAGTTTTTAATAAATACTTACAACTTCAGCATCAATATTACACAATGTTATGTTTTCAAGATTATCTTGTAATGTTTGAAAATCCATATCACGTGCAATACGATCAATATCAACTGCGGCTGTAATCAAGAAATAAATTTTAAATTTTTTATTCTTTTCATTTTAATCTTCATACCAATTCGACGCCAATCAATTTTTTCACTTCGTTTAAGAAATATTCCTTGACGATTAGCTTGTTGTTGAGATGGACTTAAATAGAGATAACTCATGTCAGAGCCTGCTGGCACTCTTTGAGAGTTACCAGCTGTTGAATAATAATCATGTTGCATTGTTAATATCTAATCTTAAAAGAAGGTACTCTAAGCGCCATATTTTTTCTACCATTGTGTTCATCGTTTCCATCGATACGATTGCAACGGTGTCGAAATCAAATTTTATAATAAGTTACTTAAATTTGTAAATAAAGATTGTTAATTGTGTTAGATGAATTTGAATTCCACTGTTCAACATGTTTTGAATATTCGAACAAATTAGATGTCGCTCATTGACTAACAATTACTCAGCTATCATAGACTCATAAAGATAAGCATAGACAATTATCTACGAGATATTGTCAAAATGTGTGAAGATATTACGTGTAATCTATTTTCTTAAATATCAATATAAAAACATCAGAATTTCTTATTACATCGTGACTTTTTTTTTCTAGAAAACAATGTTTCTGCGAGCAGTTCACTTACATTTCTTTATTGTTTTTAATCTATTTGTAAGCTATTTGAAACTATTAATTCAACATAATATAAATAATTATTTTGGTCGTAGTTCTTTGTAAAATGTAATCAATTAAGTTTTGATTCATTGGATTCAACAATGAATCCTGATATTGTCATTAAAAATTGTACAATTGGAGTATTATGTACAGGGTCTGTCAATTCAACTTCTGTACATTACTATTCCGTTCAATATTTTTTTAATCCAACAACGGTAAAGATATGATAATGGACAAATCTGTTCATATAACTACAAAGTTAAATCGATATTATGCTTTTTTGTTAAATTTATGTTTAGGCTATTCGTCTAACAACAAGTATGCAATATGATGTACAACAAAATGATCCAATTTTAGTTGTTGTTCGTCAAATTCGTGGTGTTGTTTCATGGACACTTCCATATGCATTTTCTAATGGGTAAAAATGGTTAATTCAAATATGAAATTCTTCAGTTTTTAATTGTTATTAGGATGATTTATTCGAGTGTTACGCGCATACTTTGTTTATACAATGAAGTAAATCGTACTCGACCACATACAAGTGTTATTTTTATTGAAATTTCTACATCAAATCCAGATTTAATTGATTATTCGATTCAAATTGATAATACAACTGAATATTTACTTGAGTAAGACAAATGAATTATTCGTTTTTATTTTTGTAATTTTCTTTTGAAAATATAGAACAGGCGTTGAACGAAGTTTTAATATATCGCCAGCTATGCCTGTTTATTATAAATTTGTATTTCCACCTGATATTGATAATATTTTTATTGAAGTTAAATCAAAAGATGATTTATGTGCTGTTGTATCTGTTCAATCATTTGATTGTCCAGTTTATGATGTTGGTGAAATTGGTTTTAGACAAGGACATTATCAAACAATGTCAAAAAGTGCTTCATTTAATGTTTATGTAATGTATAGTAATAGATTTTAGACTTGACTTTTGTGAAACACGATCTAAAAGGAGTGTTGAAGTGTTTAGGGTAGAAATTTGACCCCCCCCCCCTCCACAGACCGTTACCGACAGGTGATTCCTCCATCACAGGCCGTTACAGACAGGCCCGGGACCCATCACAGACCGTGACAGACAGGGTTTGGGACCCAGCACAGATCGTAACAGAGAAACTGTAGTTCTAAAGCATTAGATAAACCGTTAGCTACAAATATATCGCAAAGAAATGGAACAAAACAATTTCCATTCAACTAGTAACAATAGATCCATCGTGTTTCATATTTTCAATCCCGCAAGAGATTGCGCTAATAGCTTTTTTTTTCTAATTTCTATTTAATAGTCTAGTGAATTTATGAAACGAAANATCGTAACAGAGAAACTGTAGTTCTAAAGCATTAGATAAACCGTTAGCTACAAATATATCGCAAAGAAATGGAACAAAACAATTTCCATTCAACTAGTAACAATAGATCCATCGTGTTTCATATTTTCAATCCCGCAAGAGATTGCGCTAATAGCTTTTTTTTTCTAATTTCTATTTAATAGTCTAGTGAATTTATGAAACGAAATGAAATTCTTATTGTTTTTCTTGTTAAACCAACGGATGTCGACTGTTTGGATTATAAAGAAACAGCTATGATTGAACCAGGTTAGTAGTTTTTATTTTATTTTAAATGTATTTCAGTTGAATTTATGCATTTGTCTAGCGGGTATTGTTGATGTTCAACGAAGTAAAAATGCAACAGTTATATTAAATTCACCAAGATATTGTACGTATATGTCTTACGGATTTTTATGAAACTTAGTTTTATTTTTATTGGATAGTTAATTATCTTTATATAACAATATTTCTTACGGCTGGATTATTTTTTTTAATTTATGTTGTTGCTTTCATTATTATGTGTAAACATCCTGATATTTAGTGAGCTTTTTTTTGCTTGAGAGAAATTTAAAATAACTGGTGATAGTTTTTTTTTTAGTGATGAGTTGGGTCCAGATGATTTATGTATGTATGAATGATTGAACTTTTATTTTTATTTTTGTTTATTGAAATTTTTTTATTATAGCATTGTTAGAAGCACAAACAGAACGAGAACTTACTGGTATGTATAGATTGATGAGAAATAAGATTTTTATGATTGATTTGAAATAGAACATTCACGTAATGAACCATCTCATCAAACGTCCAGAGGTGAGGAAAATGTAATAGCATCAAGGATAAATGATTATGCAACTCAAACATCTGCTATTGAAGTTATTGAAACATCACGTGTAAGTTTGAATCTAAGACATTTTTATCGAAGTTTATTCACTTAATATGTAATTAAGATGAGTTTAGTAGGATTTCAACTATTGTTGTTTCTATTGGTTTTGTTATTTGTGAAGATAGACACAGTCAACTGTTGATTGAAGGAATAAACTCAAAGTTGAGAAGATCAAAATATTTTTTTCAATAAAAATCTTTTTATTCAAAACTATGCTCATGAGAGAACATATGCAACTGTTGAGTACCGTTTGACTTTATATCATGACTATGAGTAGTAGTTCTCTAGGAGACTAAGAATAATCTTAGAGGATTCATGTCGATGACTGACTGATGATAAGTTATAGATGTTATAATGAAATCTATTCATAGGCAAAATTCCAAATAAAAACTTGCTTTTCTTTTGGTTTTTCAGAAAATACTTTCCCTTCAATAAAAATTTTAATAAATCGATCATAATTCTTCACCCATGGGCTGTTGGCATAATTCCTTGTAGACTTCTTTTAGCATCGTCGAAAACTATGTGTAGCTATAACATGAAATCGAACGGTATCTAAAAGTTGTATATGTGCTCTTGTCAGTAAAAATAACGATTACTTTTAAATACGTCATGCTAAAATGATCATTGATATGCTCAAAACAGAAAAAAAACGAAGCGAAATTAATAACAAACAATCTCTTTTTTGCCCCATATTTACAAAAATCAATTGCGTAAAACAACGGATGAAACATAATTGAAAAAAAGATTCTCTATTTTTCTTTCAGCGTGGTTTTGTCACTGTTCATGATTTATCTGTGAAAGATTATGACTATTTAAAACAAGAATTTCGTATATATCCTCAAACAATGATAACAATTGCTATATTTTACTCTCTACCTGTCATTCAACTCGTATTACAATATCAAATAAATATTGATTCAATTGGCAATGAAGATATATGCTATTTTAATTTTTTATGTACACGACAATTTGCTAAGTTAACAGCATTTAATAATATTTTTTCTAATATTGGTTATTGTGCACTTGGTTTACTGTTTTTTATTATTGTTTATCGAAGGTAAGAGGATATTTATTACTATATTTATTATTTTGTATTTAATAGAGATAGGTCTTATGCTCGATTTCTTTCGAAATATCCAAGAATAGGCAAAGTAAATTTGAATACTTGAACGGTAAAATTTCTTTTTGAATTGGTTTCATTTAATTAGGAATATGGTATTCCACAACACTTTGGTCTCTTTTATGCAATGGCCATTGGTTTATTTATGGAAGGTATTATGAGTGCATGGTAAATAAAAGTTCGATTAATTTTTAAGAGTAAACTATCTTCTTTTAGTTATCATGTATGTCCATCAAGACAAAATTTTCAATTTGATACCAGTTTTATGTTTATAATAGCCGTTTTAAATCTAATTAAAATTTATCAAACAAGACATCCAGATATCAATCCACGTTCAGCTGGTGCATTTGCATTTTTAGCTGCTATTATTTTTATAACTGTTATTGGAGTGGTATGTTATTACTATTTAAATTTGTTTCCTTTTGTTTTTGAATATTTTAGATTTTTTTTTCTTTGTAGTATTATGATAAGCAATGGTTTTGGATATCTTATACTATTGTTCATATCGTTGTTTGTTTAACATTTACAGCTAAAATTTATTATATGGGAAGATTAAAAATTTCATTACGTATACATGTAAGCTTAAAAGAATATTTAACTTATTAATCTATATTTGTGTTTGATGGAAGAATTTCTCGAATTTCATATAGTTTAATCAAGGTTTGGTCTTCATGATATCGAGAAAAATAGAAAAGAATTCTGAATAATTAGAATTGAAGATTTGAATAATAAGTCAAAAAATTCTTTTAATTTTCTGGAAATTTCAAGTAAAACAATAATAGTTTTCATTGGGATATTTTATTTTAAAAAGACACTTATATTCTTTGGAGAATCATTGAATTTAAGGATACCCCTTTGTGTTTTGATCATTTCTGATTTTCGAAGAGAGTACAACGAATCCGTATGAAATTTTTATGACAGATAGAGTCCCTAAAATAAACAATATTTTTGTAATTTTCTCAGGAAAACCCTGGTCTTCTATAGGACCACACCGAGCTTTCTTACGATCCTCGTCTAACTTTTCCCGATTGACTTGACATTTTGACCGTGGATATTTGGAATAATCGGCAGGAAGTACAATCCACCGTTTTCTTTTTTTAACTTTTCATAGCCGGATTTTAAAAGAAGCTTAAAATCCCTCAGAGATATAATCTATGCCTTTTTCAAGAAAGTTTGCGGCTTGATCGAGCAAAGTTAGACGGAAGTTGAAAACAGGCACG